TTGCTGAAATATGACATGTTTTTGAGGAACCCATGTTGGGTCAGGGATAGTAGGTTGAAACGCGCAACGTGCTCACCTACACCGTTTCTGACTATTATCTCACGTCCTTTACAGAGGATACTAGTGAGACTAACTGGTCTATAGGTCTCTGGCGCCTTACGGTCGCCTCCCTTGTGTATTGCTACAACTGTTGCCGTCCTCCATTCTTACGGTAACTCACCGAGTCTTAGGGATTTCTCGTATATTACACACAACGAAGCCGCCAAAATCTCTGCAAGCGGCTTGATGATGGCTGTATGAAATCCATCACTCCCCACTGACTTGCCGGATTGTAACTCGCTAAGTATCTTCAGAATTTGAGCTCTGTCTACCTGTAAATCCCTCATTGGAGGAGCTCGCATCCGTGGCAAATATGAGGGGTAGCTGCATCCACCGTCCAACTTATAAATACATGCAAAACAATTTTTGAGCATATCGCACTTCTCTACCTCTGACGACACTTCTTCCCCTGCGTGGTTTCATAGGATCCCAGCCGATTGCCTTCGATTGTAAATACACAAAACGTTTTGGGAACGGGTTTAGCCTGCTGAGCGACCCTCAATTCATGTTTCTTTCTAGCTTGTTTTATAAACTTGTTTACGTAATTTCGGGCCACTTTGTAGGCCAACCACCTGTGCTGTCCTCCAAAGTTTGTATAATCCCTCCATTTACGTCCCCTGAAAGTTTTTGCTCTCTTTATGGGAGTTGTCCACCATTCAAGGCCTTGAGAATTCCTCTTCGGTTGCAATGGCTCGTACCTGTCAATGAGCTCTGCTAGGCGTTCCCAAAGTACGCCCCGTTCCTCCTCGACAGTTGCATCTTGGTTAGGCGACCACCAAATGGTGAAACCGGACTTTTGGAGAAGGCCGGGCATATTCATTAGAAGGGAGCAGAACCTTAGGATATATGGGGCTCAATTGGAGTAGGTGAGAGACGATGGGATATTATGGGCATCATGTAAGGCTGGATTAGTTTTTTCGTAATGCTCGGGTTCATTCGTTAAGGGTTGAAAATTGCCATCCTAAAAGGTTGCTTGTTCAGTCCTGGTAAAAGTGCGACAAAACGTGTGCCATTTTTGCACTCTAAGCGCGCAGGAGTCGCACGTTTGGCACACGCTAGGCGCACTATTGTTGGCAGGACACTCCAGAGAACCATCAGAAATCCGTTTTTCTTTTCCAGAATAACGCTCACACACGTTTACGTGAAAGATATAACACAATTGTCCAAGTGCAGTGGTGCTCTCAAACTCATTGGTGCAAGAAACTGGTACAAAATAACCCCGGATGTGCCCAGGGGTCTTAGAAAGCAAGGTTTTGGAGTACCACAATGCACAATCACTTGCCGAGCCAGTTTGGGGTAACTGGCGGAAACCGATCTTTACCGACCGGCGGAAATAAGGTGTCATCAATAGTGGTGATCGAGGATGTCATGGAAGACGAGGAGTGTCAAAGCTGTCCCATCACAGAGACCACGGGAATCAGTCGTGTCGTCCACGGAACAGGGGTTGCAGCAGACACTCCGCTGAAGAGAACCTCGACCAGGATAGATACTCCTGTAGACTTAAAATCGTCGTTCCAGGGACAAGTAAGGAGGATAGACTTAGCAGGTCGTCAAAATTCTTGCTACTTACTCGGGTGCTGCGTTTGAATCCCAAGATAGAAGGAATAATAAGTAGCATAATCCATCCACAGGGAGCTGTCGGTTTCTTGTAATCGACACCTGCAGTATTAGAAATAGGTGGATGGAACACTTTGCAGCTGCGTGTGACCTAAATGCAGCTCTAATAGCTATATCGGAAACATGACTTAAGAACCACGATAGAGCACCAGGTTTGGTGTTAGATAGCTTCGCCATTCATAGGCAGGATCGACCTCTAGCACCAAGGGGAGGAGAAACCTTCCTCATAAGGAATGAAAGTGTGCACATGGTAAGCGAAGTTTCGGTAAACCTGCAGAGTTTTCGACTATGTGCCGTAACTTTGCTGTTACCTGCGTGCGTCTACCGGTGACCCGGGGCTGAGGTCACCGATTATCGGGCACTGATTGATGCATTAGATGTCTTAGTTGAAGGATCAGCGACGCTGTACATAGTTGGTGACTGTAACTTACCTGATGTAGATTGAGTGGCAGGTAGATGCACCCAAGATAGTCAAGACGGAAGGTATTTCGAGTGCATAAACACAATGGCACTCTTTCAGCATGTTGCATTCTAGACGCGGTTCAGAGTCCATCAGGAAACATCCCTACTGGACCTTGTCTTTTCCAAAAAGGGGAACGGAGTGTAATTAATGTCTCTGGATATCTACAGATCGGAAAAAGTGATCATCTCCTCATTGGGGTCGATATTCGGACGAAACCACCGTACGTAGATTACGACAGTACAGGGATTTTGGTAGAATGAACATAAGTAGGCTTCGGGAATACGCCGCACAAATACAGTGGATTCCCGAGCGAGACACCACAGACGTCGAGGAATGTTATTTGTTAATCAAACACAACCTCCTCAACCTCCAGGACCTCTTTGCCCCATTAGAATATAAGCGGCACAAGGGAAAATCTCCATGGTGGCGAGCTGCAGTAGCCAGGGTAATTTGGTACCAAAACCGAAGTTGGTGAGCCTATCAACTAGCCGCCACCCACGGGTAGTGGGTTAATTACACAGCCTACAGAAAAGGCAGTGGTTAACCTAGCGAGGGAGAAAAAGAGGTTAATTGAAATTATGCTGGCCTAGAAGGTAAAGCTGGAGCCAAAGAGGTACTACGGAAACGTCCAGCCAAAGGGCTTTCCCAGAGAAGAGACGGGCTTACTGGTACTTGAGGGGGATGGGATTATAACTGAAAACCAGAGTAAAGCTAATGCATTCTGCGTTTACTTAAGCAGCGCGCAAAGGTTAATCACTGGTGAGTCAAGTGCTTTTGATCTCTTGGTCACAGATGTAATGGAGGAACTAAGGGTAACACTCGATCAAGTATCTAAGGTACCAGGCGGTCTTAAGGTATCCAAGGCTCCGGGACCAGACGAAATTAGACCAGCGATCACCCAGTCAATTGTTGAAATAATTTCGGGGTCGATTAGCAGTCTTTTTAGGGCATCACTAGCTGAAGAGAGCTTACCAGTTGACTGGAAAACAGCTTCGGTAGTAGCCATACACAAGGGCGGCTAGAAGACAAATGTAAAACCTATCGAATCGTTAGCTTAACTAGCGTGCTATGCAAGGTACTAGAAAAGATAGAACAAACCTAGTGAAATATCTGGAGCGTAACATACCACTGACCGAGGCACAGCATGGATTCTTTAAGCAACGTCCATGCCTAACATACCTGTTGTGCTTTTTCGAGGATGTTACTGCAAAGATGGATGAGGGTAAAACCGTAAAGGTTTGCTACCAGTACTTCAGCAAAGCTGTTGATTCAATGAATCATCGCTTACTATTGCCCAAATTAGACGGATTCGGAATCCAAGGACAGTTGCGCAGGTGGATAAGCGCCTTTCTCTCACAACGTTCATTCTATGTGACGGTTGGTGAGAAAAGATCAACAATAGTTCAGCTGAATAGCAGAGTCCCGCAAGGCTCAGTACTAGGACCGCTTCTATTCCTTCTCTAAATAAACGACTTGCTAAGCACTCTGACCTCATTGTGCTAAATGTTTGCAGATTACGTAAAAGTGGTTGGTCCGAATGGGAGAAGTGATCCAGAGCGGGATTAGGGCAAGTAATAATAATAATAATGGTATATTTCACGAAGCCTGTGAAGCATGCTAGTGTGCATGATCCAATGTACAACAATGTAAAAATGACAGAAGAAACAAAAAGAAATATTTCAGAGTGTAAAAAAGTAATTTCCAAACGGATACGAAAGATACCGTAAATGTGCAATACGGTGCAAAACGAAACACAAAGCGGACAAGGTCATATGACGGAGTACTGGGGGTGATGTGTTACGCAGAGCTAATCAATTTAACGGTTGTCTTATGAAAAACATTTGACAAGGCAAAATTGGAAGTTGGAATATCCGTTCAAGAGAAAATGAGCGGAAACGAGTTCAAAGAGCAGGTGTATAGTGAAGAGAAAACATTATTAATTTCGGAAGAAGCGCTGCAAACGAGCTGGAGAAGAGCGGAGGGACTCACGAAGGGACGCCAAATGGCTTATTAATAAACAATTTACAATGTCAATTCAGTAGGAAATGCTTCTGTGAATACAAAACAATGGGATTCGGGGCTTCACCGTTAATACATGTTTTGGTTTGTATCATTTATATTATTTAGGCGTATGTCGATCTGATGTGGGACTGACTAAA